CACAAAAAAAAACACCCTTCTTGCCAGATTCACAGTGGCGTTGACCAGGACTTGTGTCTATGAGGGTCGGGAAATGCATTAGAAAAACAATGACAAGGACTTCAGACATAGATTATAGCATTTTTTTAAAAACGGATCATCTCCGTAAAAAAATGCGAGGGAGAGTGGGAGGTGTATACTTATAAATTGCCTACTTTATAGAAAGAGTGGGCCGTTGCCGCCACGCAGGGAATGTTCAAAAATTCTCTATGACTCTTGTGAAATAGTAAAACGCGTCTTCAGACATTCCCCAATCCTGAACGTATTCACTCTGCCTCTTCTTTGTATCATATCAAGGAAGTCAAGATCTTAAGGGAGGGGGTAGTACTTGAGCAATCTACTTCCTCTATGTTTACCGCCAAGGCTAAGGGCAAATCTGTGCCATGCAAACTTCTTTAGTGGGTGGTTGGCGGGTGCTCTTTTGTGGTTTGCTCCTTTCTTATAAAACGTCCATCGTCCTTATCTCTCCTCCTTCTTTTTTGTGTTTGTTACTGTCTTGTAACACATCTAGTCTTCGTCACTTAGATCTATTTGACCTTATTGTGTTGCAAGTGCCGTAAAACTCTTACAAAACTAAACAGCTTTAAGATCGTCTGTCAAAATGCAAAATGCCACAGACATGGCGTTATATAGGCTTATTTTCAAGACGTTATGTTGCAATGGAAAGGTTTGGTAGGGAACACACAAACACGACAGAAATACACGAGCTGTGTTCTCTCCTTTGCCAGGGAAGAAGGGGTCAAGAAAAAATTGTTAGAACCTTCGTTTAAGATTCTTGGCAAGCGGAGCGCCCTCCCGGAACGCGAGGATACATTGTATAATATTCGAATACACGCGCAAGATAACCAAGGGGCAAAAACCCAAATTCCAGCGCCCACGTCTGTGTAGCTGTGATTTGCATAAGGTGGCGTGCTTTGTGCAGGGTTGGGGAGTGAGTGCATGCGTCTTGCTCTGGCGCTGTAACTGGGCGGGAAAACCTTCTTTACAGGACACTTGTTGAACGAGTAGGAGATCAAGGGGAAGGCCTCTCGTGGACAACAGTCACAGGGAATGGTGTACAGAAAAATGGGAAGACTTGGAATGATATAAAGAGTTTTGCCAAGGATAGGGAAAGCGGAAGACGTTTGTTCGTGGTCTATACCCTGATGCAATAATGATGATGATGATTAAACAAATTTTTTAAAATTTATATTGTTACTTTATTTTGTCTGAAATTCAAATAAGACTCTCCCTCCTACTCTGCTTACCGAACAATGATGATGGTGATGATGATGCCTATGTGGTGAAACATTTAGCCGTTTTTATAAACCATTTTTCTTTTGTAAAATTATTTATGCGTTTTGTCTTTTAAATCAGTTCACTACAGTAACTGAGATGTAGCGAGCCGCTATATGTCGCTCTCCCAGTTACGCTGACTGATGTTGTAAGAAAGAATGTTGCCCGTTGCTGCCTGTGGAGACGTGCAACTTGATGTTGTGTTTTGCATCATATTAATTTTATTGCCCGTCTTCTTTCCCTGTGGGTGGTTGGCGGGTGCTCTGGTGTGGTTTGCTTCTTCTTTCCTATCAAACATCTATCGTCCTTATCTCTCCTCCTTCATTTGTTTGTTTGTTACTCTCTTGTAACACCTCTAATCTTCTGGCGCTCATATGGCGTTATGCAGTTGCGAGCGCCGTCAAACCTCTACTGAAACTAAAAAACATACATTGCCGTTACTTTGTCGATATGCTGCTGTCTACTCAAGACTCTTTTCTTACTGTCGGACTGCACTACTGTCTATTTTAATTGTGGGTATTTGGCGGATGCTCTGATGTGGTGTGCTCCTTCTTTTCTATCAAACACCTATCGTCCTTTTCTCCCCTAGTTCTATTTTGTGTTTGTTTCTCTCTTGTAACACCTCTTAATACTCGACGCTTATACGACGTTATTGTGTTGCAAGTACCGTAAAACTCTTACTAAAACTTAACGGTCTAGTTAAATTGCACTCTTAAATGTACTGTTGTTTATTGCTAAGTGACTGTATTCCTGTCTATCGTACAATGGTTGTGCCGTTGTTTTGTGTACTATGACAATGGGTTGCTGGCGGATGCTCTGGTGTGGTTTGCTCCTTCTTTCCTATCAGATATCAGTCATCCGTATCTCCCCTCCTTTTTTCTTTGTATCTCGTACTCACGGCCTACTAGATTATCTAGTAAGCCGTGGTCGCACTCCAATCGTTGGCATTTGTATATGACCTCGTTGTGTTTCAAGTGCCTTAGAACTCTTACTAAAACAAGAACAATTGTACTATAACTGTGCTGATGTCTATTGCACAGTGACTATGACTGTATTGTCGTCTACTGTACTATGAATGCTGTTGTCTATTGTAACTGCGCTGTGGCTACTGATGTCTATGATAATAATAATTGTACTCCCCTGTGACCGTACTGAGGGCGCCAGTTGTAGGTCCTACTTCTTTACTTTCCCACTGTTGTTTCTGTCTGTCTGTCTGTCTGTATGCATGCATGTTTGACTTTTCCCCAGCACTAGATGAGCATTGTTGTGTTCATACGCTTCTCCATACCCACATTCTGGGAGTTTACAGAAATCTTGACATGTACCAAAAGTGGCCATTGCCGTATCTGTTGGAGAAGTTTGGTTTCTTTGGTGTTTTATTTGTTTGGTTATAGAGAAATCTCCTGTCTTTTAAAGAAACTGAACAAGGGTCCAAAAACTTTACCGTCGATTTTCTCAAAACAGCATTTTTCGGGATAGCCCCCTTGTGCCTAAAAGCGACCAAATAACCCTATAGTGTTGACAGGGCGTTATACCTGTACAAGAAAAGTAGTGTAGTCTAAGACCCATGGGAGGTTGGCGGGTGCCCTGGTGTCGTTTGTTCCTATTTTCCTATCAAACATCTATCTTCCTTATCTCCGCTCCTTCTATTTTGTGTTTGTTACTCCCTTGTAACTCCTCTACTCTTCGGCACGTATATGACCTTGTGTTACAAGTGCCGTAAAACACTTACTAAAAGTAAACTTTTAAAAAAAACCCACACAAAACAAAACAACAAAAAACTAGTCTAAGTCCCTGTGTTTCCCTCTCCGCCCCAGGTTCACGTGGACACGCTCATATCGCGACCTCAGTGCTTTGTTGTCGTATCTGCATGTTTGATAACAGTGAAAATAGTCCATAACAAAGAGTTTGCTTAAGAAGTCACATTTTCACTGTTAACAAATGGAGATACGACGTGAAAGCACTGATGTCGCGATATATGACATTATTGTGTTGCAAGTGCCGTAACATTCTTACTAAAAACTTAAAATAAAAAAAAAAAAACTAGTGTAAGTCCCCGTGTTTCCCTCTCCGCCCAGGTTCACGTGGTCCCGGGCGTTCGTGGACATGCTCAAGGAGGTCTACGACATGGCCTCCCAGCACGAGGTGGTGGCCGAGAACCTCACGGGGACGGTCAGCCGGAACCTGCAGGACCTGGTCACAGAGACCAAGACTGACCGCAAGAAGGTAGGTCACTAGCGCCTTTACCAACGAACGAACGAACGCTCGCTCGTGTGCGCGCGGGCACGTGCACACACACACACACACACACACACACACACACACACACACACACACACACATATGCTCGAGGGCATGCAGTCGCGCTCACACGCTCACACACACACATGCGCGCGCGCACATAGACACGCACAAACACTCTCACGCACACACACACCACGCTCGAGCGCATGCACTCACGCACGCACTCACGCACGCGCGCGCACACACACACACACACGCATGCACAGTCGTGCGCCCTCACACTCACGCATACACACGTGTGCACGTACACATTCGTTCGACCACGCTTCTAATATGTATGTATACATGTATGAGTATATTTTATTATGTGTGAGAGTCTGAAATATTAAACATACGTGGGTGTCTGTGTGTGTGTTTGTCTGTCTGTCTGTCTGTCTGTCTGTCTGTCTGTCTGTCTGTCTGTCTGTCTGTCTGTCTGTCCTGGAGCTCCGGGTCGGGACATGAAGCAGAGAACGAACAATATCTCGGGCAGGAAAGACAAGAAAAATAGTTGCGACCTGCAGTGCTGCTGTGGTCAGCAGACGTGTGGCACTAAAATCCTAGGTCTGCCGTACGTGGACGGTGACGTAGAAGTGTGTGCTCGCTCGCTCGGATTATCGAGGTATAAAATTACAGTTCTTCATTCATAAGTACCGCATCTGATTGCGCTCACGAACAGATGGCCCGGGCGAGTTGTCGTTCTTGTGGTCAGTGGATACTGTTAATGGCTATTGTTAGCTATTATGTGGCCAGTTGTATGTGTTGTATTTAAATGGCGATGCCCATTAAAGGGACGTTGAGAGGAATGCGATGGGAGTTTGTTTGATATCGCCTGTCCTACGTCATATCTTGCTCGTGTGACAAAGCCTGTGTGGAAGGGGTCACTGACCTCTGCATTGGGGCCGTTTGTGCCGTCGTTGTCGGCTGTCGTGATAGCTGGCCTAGTCGCTGGACTCGTTGTGTCAGTGCGTGTGTGCATGAGAGAGAGAGAAGGAGGGGGGCGGGGGGAGCTTGTCATCAGACTCCTAGTGAAATGACTGTGTGTGTGTGT